AGAGAGAGAGAGAGAGAGACAGAGCAGGTCGAGAGAGAGGCAACAGGAACAGACGGAAAGATGTCCATCGTGAGAGGAAGGATCCTGCGGAAGCGGAGCTCGTGGCAGGACACCGTCGGCGATCAGGAAGTCCCGAATCTGTAGGACGAAGGAGGCGCACAACCTCCAGGAGAAGAGGACCCTCGTCGCTATCTCCCTCCTCCGCCAATATCCCGTTATCCCCCGCCCGAGTGTCAATCCCGGTGTCTCTTCCGTCCCGAAAACGCAGCGGGAATCACGAACGAAACTCGGTGTTGAGCGGGAAACGACGGGGGAGAGCGAGAGGAGAGAAAGCGGAAGAATCGCGAGGAGCAGTGCTCGAACGAATTCTCGCGAGGCTACTCCGAATCTCCGTTTATCGCGCGGTGGCGAGTCAAGACTCCCAATTGTGATCGCGTCGCGAGTGACAAAGCGCGAAGGCGAGACAGGGAGGACGCGTCCGCGATAGAGAATTACACGGATCGAGCTCCAAGTGTCGCGATATTACGATCGATGTCGCCGCTCGAATGTTCACAAAAATACGATCGTGAGTGACAGTGACGAGGAGGCAGAGGCAAAGGTGAGCCGCAGCATCGGACGAGAGCCGAGAGGAAGGATTGTGGAAGAGCGACGGGCCAGAGAGCACACGGAGAGAAGCCCGAAGAGGAAGCAAGACGGGGGTAGGAGGGTGGACCGGGCGGGAGGGAGGGAGGGAGGGTGAGACGCGGACGACACGCAGAGAGGCGCCGGGTCAACGCGCCAGGTAGCAACGCCTCAGGACAACCGCGCCGTCGACGTTCCCTTCGTCGCCATCCTCGTCCTCGCCGTTGTCTCAGCGGCGAGGTGGTGTCGTGGCTCTTCCTCTTTAGAACGCGGACAACCGCGGCGACTCCGGGGGAAGGCAACCATGGGGTCTCTCCACGCCGTCTCTGGGAGCTTCGTTCTCCTCGCGGCCACGGTCGTCTTATTGCCCGCCACGCATAACACACCATTTGCATACGCCGCGTAAGTTGCGACTATTTTATATATATATACTTCAAATTTAGACGAAATGCGATAAATGTAATGTATCATAAAATAGCACGTAGCTTTTAAAAATGAATTCTGAGAGACATGACAAGGTAATTTTTAAGGAATGATTGATGTTTACTGATGCTCATCTTTGAACGTAGTAGTGCAATCTTGACATAGACTTGAAAATTGAGATTCTACAAGACGTCACGGCAGCGGGTGGTCTTCTTTACATTCGTGAAGTGAGTTTATTCGCAATCTTCGATAGTTATTTAACTACATTTCTCTGTTTAGAAATGTACAAAGAGCATACAGAACTGAAATAATTAAAATGAATGTATTTTAAACTTTAAAAAGGTAATAAATATTATTTTTGCCACAAACTGTCGCTTAAAAACACTGTCCATGAATTTTACAAAAGCTGACATATTTAAACGCTTTGGATTTATGCAGACAAACAATTTATAGATGAGTTTTAACGATTTAATTTATACATTGTAAAAGTAATGTATATGTTGTATGTTGTACGTAATTCACAGAATTGTTACTGCAAAATATCACACATTGAAACACAGCTCATTTTTCTCTGCACTTCGATAAAAAATACTATCTATTACAAAGAGCTCAATTGGCAATGTTTCAAATATAACCTTGTATTTGCGAGTTATAATGTATAAGGATAACATTGTGTCTCTCTTTTTCACATCTACATTTCCATGAAAAAAAAAAATGTTCTTACCAGATATAACATAGCCCTTCTATTTTAACGTTGGAAAAATATTGCGTTGGGCAAATCGTGACGAATGACATCCTCATTGCGATACGCGTCATTCATTATGCCACTTCGACGGGAATAACGAAGTTTTATTACGCGATCGTGTCTGACGTCAACTCGCCCGCTACCTACTATCAAGTACAAACAAGATAGGTTTAGCCTTTGACATAACGGGCGCCACAATGAGAGCAGCGCGTAGCTCTCTCTCGCCGTCTGGATGCACCTCCGTGATTGCATGTAAATGAGCGGATACATGCAGCCACGTTGCATGCCCTGGTATATATCTCACTACCACACGCGCAAGCTCCTTCCATGATCACAATGACACTATCCCTTGTGCCACCAAGGCGACGATAAGGGAGCTCTCTCTTTCCCTCGCGTTTTAATAAGCGTAACATATTTCGCATCGTGCATTGATCGTCTTAAGCTATACTTTTCCAATCGATGATTGCTGATCGACAAGGCCAAGATAACGAACGCAAACTCTTAATCCTTATTTAGAGGTAAGTTAGATTAGTTAAATATGTCGTAAAGTTACTGCGGTGATATTAATTGATTCTGATTAATAAATAATTATTATAATTTATACCAATAGATTATAATAATTATTTATTTATTAGAATCCATTATAAGATTAAGAAATAATATTAAATTAATCTATAAAAAATTATATAATTATATACAATTATAATTGACAGTAAAATATATAAATTAAAGAAATAAGAATAATAAATATAACAA